TTAAACACTTTAATGGCTCTGTCCCTTAGGGTCCCCATGACCCTGCTCAGTAGTTTCTTAAAGTCTTGTGGTCCCCATGACCTCTTTTGGTTTTCCTGACCTCTCCCACCAACCCATATTCCTACCCAGTTGCCCAAGGCTCTAGCTGCTGGGGTTGTCCCCAGGGTTCCTCTGCCCTGTCTATTCCTGTGACACTCATTGAAGCACAGAACATGATGTGCTGAAGTCACAGCTCTGTTCTCCAGGAGCCCAGAGCTGGCAGAGTGGCAGGAAGAAGGGAGGTCTTGGTGACACACAGGACATAGCTAGAGGAGGATGGCTTCTGTGTGAACAGAGTAAGACAGGGCCTTTTAGAGGGAGGAACATGTGGACCTGGCCTTAAGGGAGAATGGGATTCCACTCCAGGGGACTTGAGGGAGAAGTGGGGACCCACTGGGAAGGACCCAGGCTATTTTTTCCCTGGCAAGCTCCTGACCCTGCCCAGCCTCCCTTTCTGGGCCCTCTGAGGGGAACTCGGGACTAGCCAGCTTCTCAGCCCTTGGTAAGCTGGAGAGGGCAGCCTTTGAGCTGTCCCAAGGTCACTCAGGATGTCCAATAATTGTCCTAACACTTTACCTGCCACGGAACAGTAATGAGAGGGTTTTCATTATTTTCGGGTGAGCGCTCCTGGCAGATGCCCGACAGCCAGCAGATGTGTAAAGTCCGAGGTGATTTGTAAGGGACCGTCTCATCTGATGCACAGTAATTGCACAGGGCGATGCTGTCACTCAGAGGAGCATCCTGGCCTGCTGGGATGAGGTTAAGGTCAGTTCAAAGATCCAGTTGGGTCACAGGAAGTGGGGCTCCTTGGTGGGGGGGGGGGTCAGTGGCTAAGACCCTGGCCACAATCTTAGTGGGGCTTTCCCAGGCCAGCCAGGAACATGTCTCCCCCCTCCCCCCGCAAGGCTTTTGGGTGTTGGGGTGGATCTGCAGCCACTGTCCTTCTTCAGGGTTTCTTCTGGACACTGTGCCTTTTCAGGCTTTCCTCATGATCTGGAATCTGTGTTCTAGGCCTCCCAAGGCCAGATCTGTGGCATGTGGCACTGGCACAGAGGGATCTACATGTGGTCCCTCAACCCTCTGCCTGGGTTGTTGTAGCAGACATTCTCCCAGGGCTGGAAGCACCGGGTGCCCATGACCAGGGTGCTAGCATGGTCAGATTCTGGTGACCTTTCTTCCTGGCTGCTAGGTGACAGCCATTTATTGTGTGTTCACATTATGTCTTTGTTTTGTGTGCACTGAGAGAGATGGGGGAGCAAGAGAGAGAAGGGAGAGAGCGTCACGAGGCCTTGCAGGGGTCTTCTTGCTTGTCTTTGGCGTAGGATCTCCTTATGTATCCCGGGCAGGCCTGACACTTGCCGTGAGAAGCAGGCTGCTCTCAAACTTGTAGCTGTCCTCCTGCTTTGCCTTCAGTGTTGGAGTTACAAGTGTATGTCACCATACCAAGCCCAAGTGGTCGCTGAGGACACCAATCCTATCGTATGAGGGCTCTTGTCTTAGATTCTACTTAATCACAACTTGCTGCTCATAGACCTTGTCTCCAAGTACAGCACAGAGTGGGGCGGGGGAGCCCTGCCGGGAGTTAGGGTTTCAGTGTAGGAATTTGGTGAGGCCCACTTCAGTCCATAGCACAGGCCATCCAGGGCCTCCCATTGGTGTGCCGCTTCCTGCCCATCTCACTTTCAACCCAGCTACACATACAAGTCAGGCCCATACATGTTCTCAACCCTCCCTAGATTAGGATACCCCAGAGCAGAGAGCGAGACTGCTGGGCCCTGCCCAGGGCGTAGTATTACATTTGAAGGTCCTGTGGATTTTGAAGGATCTGCACACATCTTCCTGGACACATACACTGCATACACAGCATAGCCGAGGGGCCCCCAGCTTTGTGCTCTTAGGCCAGATAGCCTGGGTAGGACCTCTTTCTAGAGGACTTCCTTTCTTGTCTCCTGAGTGGAGAATAAGTTTTCTCAGCTGGTATGGGGGGGGGGGGCGCCTGTGAGGAAGACCCACCCTGGGGTGTGAAGACAAGATCAGGCTGTGAACAGAGCACAATATCATTGCTTCCCCAGAGCCAAGACTCCATGAAAACCTGTATTGATGCTTTACTAGCTTTGATTTTTTTAAATTAATTTTTAGTTTTATGTTCATGGGTATCTGTGCACCATGTACACAGTGCCCACAGAGGCCCGGAGAGGCTGTCTGATCCCCTGGAACTGAAGTTGCATACAGTTGTGAGCTGCCATGTGGGTGCTGGGAACCAAACCTGGGTCCTCTGGAAGAACAACAGAAAAGTGTTCTGAGCCACTGAGCCTTCTCTCCAGCCCACAGTTCACTATTTTAAGAATAACAGTAACTCCTGTAATAATTTTTAGTGATTTTTAAATAAAGAGACCTCATGGTCAGGCCCCTGGCGGCCACAGGGCCTGTGGTGACACATCAGAAGGGGGCATGCTCAGTGGCATAAAGGGACATGACCCAGAGGGAGGGCTCTGCACACACACCTCCAGCCACTGTCCCCAGACTCAGACTAGCAAATGGAAAGCCCTGCTTTGCCAACAAACTCATGTTGGTGACTCAAAGGAGACAATGAACTACTCCCTCCCACCCTCATCATAAGTTGGGTTTGGAGTGACAGATGTGAAGCTCTGCCATCTCGCTGTCACACCAATTGCTCACTGTTCTGAGAAGGTCACATCATCATTCATTAGCAGTAATTAGTCCCCCGAGACCCCTGCACTTCTTCACTCAAGTGCTCCATTAACTTGGGTGTGAATCACACATTCTAGGCACCAATCAATGAAGACCCATCCATAATCCACAAGGTGATGCTATTAGTTACAATATATTAACTGCCTAATTTAAAAATAAAAAAGCCATCTTTATGAAGGGCAATTAACCACTGAGTGTAATTGGTCATTCATAAACCTCTGATTAGGAAAGACAAATAACAAGAAAGGGATGAATCATCTAGGCTGTGGAAGATGTGGTCTGTGCACTGGAGGCTGTGGATTTACAGAGTTCTTCATAAATGGCACCTGGTAGTCCCAGGTCTGGATGGTTCCTGAAACTCACCTGCTTCTGCGGGAGCCCAGAGACCCGCAGGATCTGAGACAGCCTAAGCGAAGTGGCAGTTAAGCTGTTTTTGGCTTTTACAGGGACCCCCTGTGTGCCCAGCATAGACCACAGAACCCAGCCGACCACATTGCTGAACTTGCAGAATACGTGGGTTAGGAAAAGGACATTGGAAGACTAAAGATACTCGATGTCATAGAGAAATAGAGGCAGGGTTAGAGACAGCCTAGAGTGAGTATCACAGAAATGGCAGAAGGAGGGACCTGCTTTCCTCACTTGCTGCCCTATTGCAGGCAGATGCCCAAGCTCATCCCTGTTTACTCATCTTCTGTTTACTCAGTGGGAGTTGCTAGTCGCCTGCCTGGAAGGGTGGGGCTGCACACCTTGAAGGGCTACTCTTCCTCAATTTACTTAGCCTACAAGCTTCTACTGGACCTGGGTACTCCCAGGAATCCCCTATAAGACTTGACCATGGGTTTGTAAGAGCTCAGCGAACATCAGACTGTCCTTGTCCCCAGACTGTCATCCTCAGGAGGAGAGACAGAAAGCCTTGGGCCTTTCCAGGACTCAGTTTCATCACCCGTGAAATGAAATAAGTTGTGTCCTCACTGGGATTGAGTTTGGGTCGGTTGGGTTGTCTTACTTACCCTGTTGGCCATCAGGGGATATTAACTTGAAGCTCAGTTTTGCATGACTGGGCCTGCCACATGACACCTCTTTGACTGGGGCCATATCTGTAAAGAGAATACTGAAGTACATCCCCTTCATCAGATATATGCTCATTCTTAAGTCATGCATCACGCGGGACAAAGACAGTTGTCCTTGCACAACTGGCTGGGTTTCCTCCTTGAGGTCTCTGCTCCAGGTTGCTTCCCAGTGAGGACCTCCCCAACCTTCCTATCTAGGTAGCCATTGTCTCTTCACCCCCTTTGTGTCCTTCATGTCCCCTCTCCTCCTGGGTGCAAATTGCCTTTCCTTGTTGTTCACTGCCAGCCAGCCTCCATGCTACCTGAGAACTGTGACAGGGAAGGCCCTTCCTACTGTCACAGTGCATGTCCATGCCCAGAACCCAGGGTGTAGCAAATGCTCAGTGATTATTTGTAGAGAGATTGAATGTCATCTCATTGGGGGGCCTCTTGAGACATCCTTTTTGTGGCTCTTGTGTCCAAAGAGCTCACCTAAATGCCACGAAAGCTCTCCGAAGGAAGGGTCATGGTGCTGTTGGCTTTCCATGCATCTCAGTTTTATGGAACCTCAATTCTGGGTTTATGCAGAGCGGCGTTCCCACTCCTACATCCCAGAACTGTCATGTTCCTGATGCCTGTCTCCAGCAGACCCTGTTTATTGGCATTAATGAGAAGATGGTACCTCTGCTTTCCCCAGTTGGAGAAGTATGGATCCAGAGTTAGTAACTTGTGGACATAGGGAAATGCAGGTGCTGTGGAATGGCCTGGAGAAACAGCTGTGGGCATTCAGAGGCGGCTTGCAGCTAGGCCATGTGGATGGTAGTGGGGGACTGATGTGCAGGTCTGGAGTGGGGGGCAAAAGTGGCACAGGTGGAAAGATGACATGTCCCTGGGAGGGGTGGGGCGAAGTGTTCGAAGCAGAGGTTGGCGGGCAGCCCTGGGGAGTCTCAGCTGACTCAGATCTTCTGAGGATGGACAGGGAGTTTGGGGATGTGGTGGGGCAGCATTCTCCTTGTCAAGAAGTGGCCTGTTCCGGCTGTGAAATCTGTGTCTGTCTGGGTCCCCTCAGGGGCTCACAGTGACTTGGCATGCACTGCTACTTAACCAGTTTGCCTTTGCAAAAGTCCCTCTCTGGGTCTGTTCTCAGGAGGTCACACTCTTCTGTGCTGAGCTATTCTCATTTGTGTTTTTGTGCCCTAGACTGAAGCGGTCCACGCTGAAGGTGAGATTCTGTACCAATGAGTCCCAGAAGTCCCGGAGAGAGCTGGTGGGGCTGCTTCAGCGGCTGGGATTTGACATCTCCGAAGGAGAGGTGACTGCCCCTGCACCAGCCACCTGCCAGCTCCTGAAGGAGCGAGGCCTGCGGCCACACCTGCTCATCCATGACGGTAGGCCTGCCTCGGACTTGCTGTTTCTGAGGTGAAGGCTGGGGAGAGGGCCTCCCACTCCCACTTGGGCCAAACCATGAGAAACAGATGCAGGTCAAGCCTGACTTCTTCCACATTTGTGAGGCTTCCGGGTACAGTAAGAGCAGGCCCCAACTATCCCCCTCTGACCCCAGCCCCAAGGCCGGCTTCAGAATGGTCCTGGGAGTAAAGCCTGAGGTGGTGCTCCCTGATTTAGGTAAGAGGTCAGGAATTTACCTAAGGGATTATTGAGAGAGAGGAAAGAGGGCGGAAGGGCTGAAGTGGGGTGGGGTGGGGTGAATATGTGCGTATGAAAATCAAGATTGCAGTCTATAGCTTTCCAACATCTGCCAACCCATAACCTCGAACACTCTCAGTCTTGCTCTTAGGTGCAATTTGCAAATGGTTATTGGAGCAAGGTTTGAATCCATATGATTTTAGTCTGAATGCAAGACCAGAGATCCTTGAGCCCCCAGAAGGGAGCTTTTGTGGAGCAAAGCAGAGGGAGCAGTATTCTTTTGGTGACTATTTAAAAATGGCGTTCAAGTATTTCAGAACACTGTGTTGTCCGTATGTCTGTCCTTTCCTTCCTCCACACTGTTTTCATTTTGACAAATCTCTGGGCAGAGGCAGGGCATCCTTCTGAGGTGGGGAGTACTGTCTGCAAGGCTGGAAGACAGAACCCATCGCTCTGGCACCAGTTAAGGGAATCATGCCCAGCCTCTAAAAATCCTCTTTCTAACATCCTTTCTCTGGAGTTAGGAACCCTGCCAGTGTCTTTAGAAATTCTGTCTCCTGTTCCCCTGGAGAAGGGTTGCTAGGTACAGAGAAAGGGGGTAGAGGAGCTGGGCCAGAGGAGTGGGGAATAGAGCATTGGCTCAAAGGTGCTATTAACTAAGGAATCTAGCTGACATAACAGAACCTGAGTGGGTTGGAGGGGAAACAGCTGCCCTTTCTCTGCTGTCATGTCTGCATTTTCAATAAATGTACCTGTTTTCCAGGCTTTGACTTTTTCCAGGTTTTATTATTGATGTTTTCCCCCTAATACTTTATTATCAAAATCTTCAAACATATAGCAGACCTCAAAACCTTTTACTTGGTGGGGGTATGGAGTTGCCTCCGTCAGCAGTGCGTGCTATGAAAGCTCTAGGACTTGAGTCTGAATCACAACAGCCATGTGAAAAGCTGGGCATAGTGGTTTACCCCTGTAATCCAAGCACTGAGGAGTGAGGACACGAGGATCCTGGGAGCTCGCTGGCCATCAGTCTGGTCCAGTTAGCAAACTCCAGGATCAGTGAGATACTCTGTCTCAGCCAACAAGGTGGCAGGGCACTGAGGAAGATACCCACTATTGTTCTAACCTCCATTCGCGCGTGAACACGTGCACACACAAACACACACAATTTACTTAGAATATTTTTACCGGCCTCCTGGATTTTGAGAACGACATTCTATAGTTTTCTTGGTTATGTGTCTAGCCATGCCTCCATCTATCTATTTGCTGGTTTTCCTTTTGAATCATTCCACAGTGGATGTTGGTGCAGTTCTCTTCAGCATGTCATAGAGCTGAATATATGGTCGGATTTTGTGTGTGTGTGTGTGTGTGTGTGTGTGTGTGTGTGTGTGTGTTTCTTTATGTTGATGTAAGATTTACACACAATGAGGAGTTCAAATCCCTATTGCTCTTTTGCTGGCTTTGAATCCCACACCTCTGGAGGTCTCCATTATTATCACACTGAAGTTTCCTGCATATCTTTACAGCCAGCCCCCCCACCCCGTGACGGTCCTCAGTGATAGTGTAAATAAAAGTACCTGTTTAGAATTTCATATCAATGGAATTATATACAGTGTATAATTGATCCAGGGACCCCCAAAGACCAACTTAGGTCTTGGTGATTCCCTGGGCTCCCAGGACTCAGAGAGACATGGCACTCAGGATTAAAGCTAGGTACACCTCACTACCTACCTCACCTCAGCTCAACAAGTGAGGAGCTGTGTGGGGCAAAGGGTAGGAGAACCCAGGCATGCACTCCCAGCTGCCCCCACACCAGTGGGCTTGGTTGTCTCGGCAGTGGTGTATGACACGTCGGGTGGGCAATAGGGAAGCTCACTGGAGAATCCGTGCCTACACTTTTTTGAAAGGGCTGGTCACCTAGGTACACAGTCCCATGTGACTGGCCTTAGGGACTCCACCTCCCTCCGCACACTTCACTCAAGATCACACAAGATGACCCAGTTCCTTTGGTGTGCAAACCCCACCTATCAGACAGGATTTTGTAGGGGCCCAGGGATTCTCCCTAGAGCTGTTAGAGGGCCAGTCTTAAAGACAGGCCTTTTTCTGGAGTGTGCAGGATTCCAGCAAGCCAGGCCTGCTGAGGTAGCCCTCTCTTTCACAGAAAGTAGTGTGTGTGTGTGTGTGTGTGTGTATGTGTGTGTGTGTGTGTGTGTGTGTAGAGCTTCTCCCTCCAGCCAGAGGCTCATGTGGTTACATGTACCACCATATTCTTTCTCTTTGCCATGTAGGGAACATACCACAGTGTATTTATGCCTGGATGTTTCCCAGCTTCAGGTTTGTCTTAGTCAGGGTTTCTATTTCTATGAAGAGACACTATGACCATGGCAAGTCCAACCTCCTGACTCCCAACTGTGTAGCTCTGGCTGTCCTGGAACTCACTCTGTAGACCAGGCTGGTCTTGAACAGAGATCTGCCTGCCTCTGCCTCCTGAGTGCTGGAATTAAAGGAGTGCCCCACCACTTATAAAGGAAAACATTTAACTGGGGCTGGCTTACAGTTTAGAGGTTTAGTCCATTATCATCATGGTGGGAAGCATGGCAGCATGCAGGCAGACATGGTGCTGGAGGAGCCAAGAGTTCTACATCTGGATCAGCAGGCAGCTGGAACAGAGAGTGACACTGGGCCTGGCTTGAGCATTTGAAACCTCAGAGCCACCCCCAGTGACACATTTTCTCCAATAAGGCCACACCTACTCCATCAAGGCCACACCTCCTAATAGTGCCCCTCCCTGTGAGCCTGTGGAGGCCATCTTCATTGAAACCATCACAAGGCTGTTCTGAAGTACATATTCTGCATGGCAGAATATGACAGAAAGAAAGTGCCCCTGTTAGCTGGGAGTAAGCCATGTTCTGGGCTTGAGGGCTGTCTGTCTCTCTTGTCTTTCCAGGAGTCCGCTCAGAATTTGGTGACATTGACATGTCCAACCCAAACTGTGTGGTGATTGGGGATGCCGGTGAAGGCTTTTCCTATCAGAACATGAACAGAGCCTTCCAAGTGCTAATGGAGCTGGAAAACCCTGTGCTTATATCACTGGGGAAAGGGTGAGTCCTCTGCAGGGGGATTGTGCTGGGCAGCTCTGTCCTTTGCTTTGTGGTTTTCTGCTGCGGGGTCAAGTAGAGACAGATGCAGACAGGTGGTGTGGGAGTGAACACAGGGGTCCTCTCCTCCCATCCTTTTCTCTTCATTCCTCCTTTTTTTCCCTTTTAATAAAATCTTTCCAGAGCCATTTGACCAAGTTTATGTAGGAATCTTGGGCCAGGAAATGGGTGGAGGCGTCAGTGCATGTCAAGGCCCTGAGGAGATCTCAAAGGTCAGGTGTCAGCTGTCCAAAGTTTATGGTAAAGGAAGCAAAGGTCCCTTAGCACAGGACATAGCACAAGATGGTCAGGAATAGTTTCTAGGGATACTTAATGTAGTACTAGATGGACTTGTGGTCTGGGAGGATGCTCTGGGCCAGGTGCTGAGTGCTATCTCTATAGAGTTGGGTTTGGCTGCACTTTGGCTGTGGTTCTAGCATGTACCTCAACGCCGTGCTAGTAGCTTCCATCGCTCCAGCGGATACCTGAGATAAACACCTGAAAGGGAGGCTCAGAGTTTCAGACACTTCATGGCCCCTTGCTTTGGGCTGTGGTGAGGGTGGACATCATGGTGGGAGTGTCCAGCTTATTTTCCCAGAGACCGAGAAGAGAGAGAGAAAGAAGAAGAGTCCCAGTATCCCCTCAAAGAAAAAAAACCCACACTTTTATTTACTAGATCCCACCTCCCTAAGGATCTACTACTTCTCAACAGCATTTAGAGGCGGGGTTTCTCTGTGTAACCCTGGCTGTCGTGGAACTCACTGCAGACCAGGCTTGTCTGGCCTTGATCTAAGAGATCTGCCTGCCTCTGCCTCCTGAGTGCTGGGATTAAAGGCATATGCCAGCACTGCTTTTTGAAAGAAAAAAAAAAAAAGGCGTATGGGGCTGGAGAGAAGGCTCAGTGGTTGAGGGCACTGCCTGTTCTCCCAGAGGTTCTGAGTTCAATTCCCAGCAACCACATGATGGCTCACAACCATCTATAGTGAGATCTGGTGCCCTCATCTAGAGAGCAGGTGTACAGCAGATAGAGCGCTCATCTACATAAAATAAAGAAAATAAATAACAATAATAGTTTAAAAAAATGTCTATCAATGTCTTACCTACACACATATGTGTGCACCACAGATGTGCCTGCTCTCCATAGAGGTGAGAAGGCGTCAGAGTCCTCGGAAGAGGCATCCTGGCTGGTTGTGAGCTACCATGTGGGTTCTCAGAACTAAACCCAGGTCCTCTGTAAGAACAAGTGCTCTGAAGGAGCTGCTGAGCTATCTTTCCAGCCCTGTTTTGTTTTGTTTTGTTTGAAATGGGGCCTAGCATACCCCTAGGCTGGCCTGAAGCTAGTTATGTCCTGTATAGTTGAGGTTCGTTTTCGACTTCTGATTCCCTTGCCTCTACCTCCTGACTTCTGGAATTATAGGCATGTGCCATCGTAGCCAACAAGGCATTTTCCCTCCCTCACCTTCAGTACTGTGCATTGAACTCAAGGCCTTGTACATGCCAGGCAAGGCTGGACCACTGAGCTATATCTCCGGCCTTGTTATTATCTTTCTTTAACACTGAGATAACACATGCCCACTGAAGAAACTTAGAAATCACAGAGCTGAAGAAGAAAATAAAAGGTTTTTGCAGCCTCACTGCACAGCATAAACATCAACGTTTGGGTATACGTCCTCAGATGAGTGCTTACAGGTGCATGCATTCATCAGATGCTGTGAACACGACTGGGTTTAGAATCACCTAGGATACACACTTCTCGATGTATTTGTGAGAATATTTGTAGAGGGGTTTAACTGAAGCGGGAAGACACACCCTAAATGTGGCCAGCATCCCATGTTCTAATGTCCTGGAGTAAATGAAAAGGAGAGGTGCTGGAGAAGTGACTCAATGGTTAAGAGCGCTGGCTACTCTTCCAGAGGTCCTGCGTTCAATTCTCAGCCCCACATGGTGGCTCACAACCATTTATACTGGGATCTGATGCCCTCTTCTGGTGTGCAGGTATACATGCAGATAGAGTACTCAAATATATAAAATAAATATGTAAATCATTAAAAAAAAAAAAAAGAACAACATGAAAAGGAGGATGCTGACTTGGTACCAGCATTCACCTCTCTCTGCTTCCTGGTTATGGATACAATGTGGCCCAGCTGTGTCATGCTTTTGCCACCATGTCTTCCCCGGTGGTGTTCTGCACCCTTGGACTGAGCTTGCATTCCCCTCTGTTCTTAAGTTGTAACATACTTGGTCACAGCAACAAGAAGAGGGACTAATACGGGAGTCAGGCTTGACCTTGTTTTGTCAGCTGCGGTTTTCTTTCTTTCTGTTTTCACGTATGTATGTGTGTGTGTGTGTGCGTGCGTGTGCATGGACGTCCAAGGTTGTTGTCAGGAATATCATCCTCCATCCATCTCCACCTTATTCAGTGAGGCCGCTCAATCAAACACTGATCAGAGGTATGACCCGTTCTCCCTAGCTAGCCTTTTGTGGGGTCCTTTGTCTCCGCCTTCCAAGGCTGGAATTATAGGTGGGCTACCATGTCCATCAGGTATTTATGTGAGCCGGGGACCTTAACTGCCGTCCTCACACTTGGATAGCAAAAGTTTTAAGCACTGAGCTATCTCTCCAGCTCCCTGGGCCTATTTCTTAGGGTCACCAAACAGCAGTTTGTGAATGACTTTGTACCCAGTGACCAGATATCTCTGTGACACAGTTATCTATCTTGTGAGCCAAGTTCCAGAAGGCTGTGCATGTCTAGGCTGGCCGGGAGTTCAGAATCTCACATGCTTGAGGTTGCACGGGGCTTTGGAGGTCCTGCCCAGGTTGGTAGGCATCAGGGTTTACTGCTGGAAGCATTTCCACCCAGTGTTTTAGTGACTGGGCCGTCATGCCCATCGATCTAGGTATTCTTGGCCTACTTAACTCACTGACCGGAGCCCTGCCCTTAGAAATTTGAATTGGCGAACCTGCCTAGAAAATGTGCGTAATGTAAAAGCAGTATGATAGGTCATTTATATCAACACATTTTCTTCGATGTAGTCTCATCATTGCTAGAGGTTATTCCAGATTATGAGTAATGGCTTGAATAAATACATTGGTTAAGAAAAATAAAAAGGTGAAAACAGGAGTTGCTTGCTCTTGGCTGAGTGAGACTTTTGGCAGACTCAGCAGTAGTGAGGGTTGATTTGATATGCTTGGGGCCTCCAGCCCTCCAAATTCTGATTTGGGCGAAGGGCGGGCTGTTTGAAACCCAAAGAACAGTCTCAACAGCTCCCACAAGCAACCCAAAGGCCCGGGAAGAGCTCCTGTCAGGAAGGCTGGGGCGGCCTTCCTGAGGGTGCTGGGAGGCCGGATACCCCTCTCCTCAAAATGGAGTGATTTACATTTGGCATCTGTGTGGACGGAGAGAGGGAATTGGCTTTGTAATTTCTCCTGTCATGCCGCCATCAGAAAATTAAGCTGTTTACTCCACAGACTGTGGAGGTTAATGGCTCTTCTGGGAGAGGTCAAGTGGTCATTTTGCAGGGAGGCTGCACCGAGGAATCGGAAGCGGCAGGAGAACGAAGCATAAAATCAGATCTGACTGCTCCCCTGGCCCGCTTCTCCCAGGAGCCACAGTGGCCCTCGGCAGTCGGAGGGCCCAGGGCCCTGCCAGGCATGAAGCGGGCCCCACAGTGCCCGAAAGGAAGGAAAACTACATCCAGTTGATAGTGAAGGGACATAAATCAAGATGCCTGTCTGCCGTTCCTCTTGAAGGGAACAGTATTTACCGCCAGTGGTTGGCTTCAGGTGGAATTTTGTTTTCCTGAGTGAGTAAGAAATACAGGCTGCGTAGTGGGAGCCTGTTTCAAAAACAAGCTTCTGTTGTTGAGAGAGGTGGGGCATGGATTAAAAGTTTTCATTTTGATTTCCGAGAATCCATTTTCTCTGGCTCAGAAGCTCAGGCTTTGGCTGTGTATTTCAAGTCACCTAATGAGTCTAAATACCCTGAAGTTCTTCTTAATAAACCTCTAGATCCGAGGCCAGCAGAGCTCTGTTTCCATGACTCCTTAGGGGTGAGATTTCCCATCCACCCTGTCTCCAGGTCCAGCTTTCCCCGGGGCAGCCTGGAAACCCCCAGAATCCTCAGCTGCAAACTGCTGCCTCTGTTAGTTTTGTTTTGGAAGTTTCTGTCTGCCTCCTAGGGAGCACCTTCTAAGCCAAGTTAGGTCTGTCCCCTGCTGTCCTCTGCTCAACCCACTTCTACTCACCCTTCCTTTGGAAGACCCTGATAATCCTCTTCAGGGGCCTTCCTCAGGCCACTCATTGGAACAAGGGCTGTAACCTCTGGGAGTCTCCTGATGGCCCCTTTCCAAGAAAAGTGGCCCAACTGTGGACTTGGAAGTGGTCCGCCATGCTCTGGTGCTCTGGTGAGCTCAAAGTGCTCCCTGGGCCTTCACACTCCTCCCCCTCAGAGTGACCTGCTCCCCCGCAGGACACAGCTTAATTGTCTCTTCTGAGGGACGCCTCTTACTATGTCACTTATTCATGCGGCTCACCTCGTTTGTTCCTACACTTTCTCTGCGGGTCTGTTTACGACCGCTCTGCACTGGGAGTCCAGGGACACATGCCAGGTCTGGGCTTGTCCCTGAGCCCTGCAGAGAGTCCTGGACAGAGAAGCACCTGCCATCCAAACCGCACAGGCCCAGCCAGTGTCTCCCTCTGTTGGCCAAATTGTGTTTCTCAGTCTCCAGTTCTTGGAAACTGTTCCTGCCTAAGGAAGTAGTCATTATAGTTCATTGTAAAAATAGAGAAAAGAAAGCAAATATAGTGAGAGAGAGAGAGAGAGAGAGAGAGTTTGTAAGTGTCGGCATGCTCATGCCAGGATGTGTTTATAAGTGTAGGCATGCTCATGCCAGGATGTGTTTATAAGTATAGGCATGCTCATGCCAGGGTGTGCGTGTAGAAGTCAGAGGACAACCTCAGGCATTGCTGTTCACCTTCCACCTTGTTTGAGACACCGTCCACTTGTTGTTTGCCTCTGTGTTCGCCGGGCTAGCTTCTGGGGCTTTTCCTATCTCCCCCTCTCATCTGGCACAGGAGAGCTGGGATTACAGACACATGGTTCCACACCTGGTTCCATGGGGTTCTGGGGATCTGAAGGCCCTCCTGCTTCTGAGGCAAGTGTTCTACCCACTGAGCCACCTCATCAGCCCCAGGAAACGTTTCAAGAAAATTTCATTAGGGCTTTGGAGACAGCTTAGTGGTTAAAGCTGTTGGTGTGCCAGCAAGAGGGCTGGAGTTTGGATTCCCAGAACCTAAAGGCCAGCCGGGTGAGGCAGATTGCCTGTACTTCCAGCCTTGTAGAGACAGGGGATTCCAAGAGCAAGCTGGCTTGCAAGACTAGCTGTAGCAATAAGCCCCAGGTTTGATTGAGGGACCATTTCCTACACAAAATAAGGTAAAGGAATGGCCTAAGATGTTCCTGATGCTCCTGGCACACACCACACACATGCATGTCACCGCTCTGGAGGCAGGCCATGGGACCTCGGGTAATGGAGCTGATAAATAAGACTACCTAAAGTCTCATGCTAAAGCCAGCTTTATTCAGAGCATCAGACAATTTATACTCTGAGGGGTAAGAGAAGTCATGTGAGTAACGTTCTCAGGAGTTCAAGCTGTATACAATCACTAGGACAAACTGCATGTGACAACGGTTAGGTTTTTTTTTTTTTTTCATAAAAGCATATCAAGAATAATTTAAACATTTAATTGAATAACAGCAACAAGCAATAATGAGTGATCTGAAGCAAACTCACTCTTATCTGCTATCCCTGGGAGGAGCAAAAAACACATCCCCAGAACAATTCTGCATTTTGAAGAAACTGAGGCCATAAGACTCTTGTTTTGTTTTCTTGGAGTTTCCTCACAAGAACTCAGAATTCTCCTCACATGGCTCCATTCTTGGACTGTGTCCTGACACAGACACATGAAAAGAAGAAAAAGAAAAGAAATTCTTCAGATGGGATTGGCTGTGTATCCCTGGCTGGCCTAGAATTCACAATCCCCGTGCCTCGGCCCCCTGGGAGCTCCTGTCTCCGGGCCTGTGTGTCAGCTCCAGCGAACAGCTATGGACAGTAGCGTTCTCCAGTCTTTCCTTGAGTGCTTCTTGTGTTCTGGGCATCACATAAGGAACTCCAAGTGTGTTACTTTGTGCAAGCTTCACAACAGCCCTAGATACGGGTGATAAGTTTGTTTTGACCATTTTACAGGTGAGGAAGCTGAGGTCTAAAGGCTTACGTAGACCAAAGTCATTGTTGGGAAGCAGAAAAAGAGCTGTAGTGTTGAAGTCAGCCTGCACCCCTCTTTTCTGTGGTCCTCTCTGCAGAATTAATGTCCCCTGCTGGACAGAGAAGGAAGGGAAAACTGTTGGAGATCGTCAGCCCCCTTAATAATGCCAAATTTAGAATACCCACCCGTGTACCACTCCTGGGTTTCGGTGAAACTCATCCCTGGAGCATGATCGATAAGCCACCTTCTTGCCCCCTTACAGTCACATGGCTTTGCTCAGAGAGCCCCAAGTATGAATGACTTAGTAGTCAGGACCCAAGGCCTTGCTCTGATGTGAGGTGGGCTGTGGGTACTTGGAAGAGCAGTGAGACTACACAGAGGAAGACTCCCAGGAGCTGGGCCTGCACCGTCTCAGTAAGGTTGGGAAGACATTCTTGTCTCATGGAAGCAGCTGGTGCCCGTGAAACCTGGCCCCTTGCCTGACCCCAGGCAACAGGAGATGTGGCAGGCTGCTGTGGAACTAATGGAGTTCCCTCCTCAGGCAGCAGTTAGGGGTTAATTATTAGCATTTAGGGAGTGCAGCACATGCTCTGGAGGCCTGCCGTCCCCTCCCAGAACACGGGTCACTTGTCTTCCTCTGTGGTAGTAACTGGATCCATCTGCCCACCTTAGGTCCCTGGTTAATCATTGTGGTAGGGGGCTGCTGGCTGAATGACTCATGGTGTGCTGGTGCTGCCAGCCCTCTGGTTCTGCCATGTGGCCTCCATCGGTCACTCTCAGCATGGCGTTGGAGCTGACCTGCACCTGTGGCTCTCTGTTCACACCTTCCCTTCTGCTCTCTTGCAGGCGCTACTACAAGGAGACCTCTGGCCTGATGTTGGATGTTGGATGCTACATGAAGGCTCTCGAGGTACCTGCCTCATTCTGTCCCATGCCCTCTTCAGGCTTTCTGGAGGAGAAAGTAGCCTTTCTTGTTTCTGACTGGGGCCTCCTGTGTGGGGCTTCTGGCCACATACCTCCTCCTCCTCCAGGTCCATTGCCTGGGTCATCACAAAGTCATCATGTGTGTCATTCTCCCACCCAACCCAACACCCTGGCCAACATCCTGGTGCTCTCTCCCCAGCATGCCCTTTGCCACTCTTCTCTGACTCACGGTATCTGTGCAGATCACCTGCCTCCTTCCTGGCCCTGTTAACACTTCAGGCTTGATGTGTCCTCTTTGGCCTCCTTTCTGAGATGACCTTGTAGGTTACAAAGTCATCTGTGACTATGGCCAGACCCCTGTGGACTATCAGTCACCTTTGCCTAGATTCCTGCCACATCCCATTTCTATAGTGGTAGCAGCCCCTGCCCACCTGTGCCCAGGTGGGTGGGTTGAATCCTGGACCCCCTCAGGAGAGCCTAGGATCTGCCTGGAGGTGGGCAGCAGGGAGTGGCAAGAGATGGGATTGTAGTTGAACAGGCAGGTGACAGCCATGGTCTCTTGTCCCCTGGGAGGCCGTGGCTTTGCCAGGCCTGGTATGCCACTTGCTGTGGGCAGTCTTGGAGTGTTTGGCAGAGCTGGAAGTAGTTGTCCTCAGCATTCTGAATGGCCTCATGTTGCAGAGCTGTGACACTCTGGCCTGTGATGTGTTTTTGAGGCCCGCAGCATCCTGCTTTGTGAAGGTCCCTGGGAATCAGGAGCTAGTCTTTCTATGTGTGGTCAGGCTGCTGATCCTGATTTTAAGCCCATGCTGTGTCCTCTCTTTTCCAGTATGCCTGTGGGATCGAGGCTGAAGTGGTGGGGAAACCCTCCCCTGAGTTCTTCAGGTCTGCCCTACAATCCATAGGTCTGGAAGCCTACCAGGTAGGTGTAGAATTTCCTTTCTTCTTTACAGTTTTAAGATGACATTTACTTATTTTAGGGTGTGGGCTTGTGTGAGTTCATGCTCGCTTTCCACTGTGAGGGTTCCAGGAATCGAACTCAGATCTTCAGGATCAGCAGCAGGTGCCATTACCAGCTGAGCCCTCTTGCTGGGCCAGAACTTTTCTCACTGTGAGGAGTGAGACAGTTACTTGCCCCAACAATCAGATCACAAATTCCCCTCTTAGAATGTTTTTTTTCCTCTTAAAAAATGAATGCTTTCCTTTCTTGTTTTCTGTGCACATGGACATGCACACGCATTCGCTGGGATGTAAATCACAGGTGCACATGTGCCACAGTGCACGTGGAGGGCAGAGGGCAACCTTGGGTGTTAGTGCTTGTGTTGCCCTCTGTTTGAGACGGGGCCCCTCTTGCTTGCCACTGCATGTGCCAGGCTGGCTAACCAGTGAGCTTCCGGGGAGTCTCCTGTCTCTACCTCCCCTGGGAACACTGGGGTTACAGGTGTGTGCTGCTGTGCACACCTTCCCGTGGGCCTGGGGATCAGAACTCAAGGCCTCACACTTGCACAGCAAGCTCTTTCCCAACTGAGCCATCCATTTCCCTAGTCCCAGAACTGATTTTTTTTTTTTTTACTATCATGTTTTGTGCGGGTTTTTGGTTGGTTGTTTGGTTTTGGTTTTGGTTTGGGGTTTGGGGTTTGTTTTTGTTTTTTTGAGTCAGGGTTTTCTGTGTAAGCCTGGCTGCCCTGGAACTCACTCTGTAGACCAGGTGGGCCTCTGCCTCCTGATTGCTGGGATTAAAGGCATAGTGAGCGCCAACACCGCCCAGCTTTACTATCATGTTTTAAAGCAAATCTCAGACCGATTGTATGTTTTCGTGATAAAATTTTTCTTTAAAACATGGCATTTTAGCACAACCGCAAAGCCGTAAAACCCCAGGCAGTGACCAGAGAGTACATAGAAAGGTGGCCAGTCTCCTGGCTTTTTAGGACTACACGTCACAAAACATCCTCTAATACGGCCGCCAAAAGAGAGACGTAGCAGAAAACTGCAGTGTTCATGTGGAGAGTCTGGGGCCCCGTGCTCTGCTGGCAGGACCGTGAGGGAGCATCACTGCTTTGAGGGAGCCTTTGGAGAGTCTTCAGCATTAAACAAGTCAGCTGTCTGCCCAGGCGACTGCGCTTCCAGGTGTAGAGCCAGGTGAACTGGGGCAAGCATGCAGACGATGACAGTAACCAAACCTTGCAGGGTCCGAGGGTAGCTCAGTACTTGAGTACTTGCCTCACAAACGTGACGCCCTGGGTTTGAATCCCAGCACCACAGAAACAAACACTTCCCTAAAACCACTAAGCGTTGTTCACGGCAGCTGTATTCCCAATAACTAAAAGGTCAAACTGAACTCAGACGCCGGCCTGTCCCCTGTGAATGGGTCAGCCGTGTGTGTCCTGTTTGTACAGTGAAATATCACTGAGTCGTAAAGAGGAGGGAAGAACCTCGACAGGAAGCTAAGGTGCAGAACCAGGCATGGAGCTCTAGCACTTGTCTACAGCAGGCACGCCCACAGAGGCAGAGAGGGTGGGCTAGTGGTTGCCAGAGGTTGAGGCATGGGTACGTCAGGACTGTCACTTCATGAGAACCTGCTCTCCTGCAGGTGGTAAAAACGTTGTAGAGCTCAGGCTGGCACAACTTCGCGGGTCAAATCACATAGAGCCAAGCCTCTGTGCAGCCCCCAGGGCAGAAGGAGAGAACTGACTCCTGGAACTCATTCCCTCCCCTCCATACATGTGCTGTGGTGCACACGCACGTGTACTTGTGCACTTGGCGGCCCAATGTCTAAATTTAAGTGCGTTGCTCCTATGCTACTTGGTGGGTTCTTTTTTCTTCTACCTTCCTCCAACCCTGTTCTTCTTCCTTTTCAACCCCCTAATACTAGATAGGAGCAAGAAAAAAAAAAAGGTAGAGGAGAAAGGGGTCATTATTTGATTACTTCCTGCTGATGAGGGGTGTCCAGCTCCTTGGGGCAACTTTGATCTTTGCCATCAGGATATCTAATTTCTTCTTCTTTGTACACGGCTACTTACAAACCGCAACCAACAACATCCAACCCCCAACCAGCAACCCACCCACTAGGGCCCTAACATTTATATATCCTCTGAAATGTTTCCAGAATTCCAAGCATCAAAAACTCGCAGAAACTGTCTGCAGCCGGAAAAATCATGGCCCCTGGCTGAGCATGAGGCAAATCATAGTCATCTGCAGCAAAGCAGCTGCATCTCCCTACACCTGGGATTAAAATGAAAACATATTTTTATAACCTTGCTGTGTTTTTTAAAAGAATCCAAAATTCTCACTCGTCATTAGCTGTGTGTCTTCTTCATTGTCATTCTGTCCTGGCCTCAGCCTGCCATTTTGCTGAAATGCTTGCTAGAGTTTTTTGAATCTTGGGATGTGTACACATTATAAGACAATTTCACTTAACCGTATGCACCCACAAGTAATAATCCCTGTTTCTGTATTTTGTTGTTGTTGTTGATGATGAAAATGGCTTGTGACAGGGCTGCAGGTTGCTCGGGTGCCAGGTCGTGGCACAGCTTGACTGTTTTGAGCGGCCCTAATCAATACAGTCATCACTGCCATTCCCTTGGTAATGGCTCTGCAGAGATGTTTTGAGTCTGAGCTCCAGCGGTGACAGCCGCCAATCCAATTTCCACCTGATCTTTCCCAAACAGCCTAGAACCAGCAGAAGGCGGGAGTTACCCTGCATGATTGGAAAGTCAACCCCCTTAGAGGTAATTAGGCTCTTTCTAGGGTCCAGAAGTCTGGAGAAGACTTCTCGGAATACCACAGGCTGTGGTGGAAGCTCACTGTGCACTGGCGATGTATTGCAGCCTCCCTGGCCTCCACCTGCTGGGCATGGTAGCACCACCCTCGTTCACATGTGGCGAAGTCTCAAATGTCTCCAGAGATTGTCCTGGGGAGAACCACAGTACTGTGGGCACAGGCTCAGAAAAGCCTAGAACCAGGCTCTCAAGATGGCTCAGTGGGGGAAAGCGCTTTGGTATACAATCATCAGGACCTGACTTCAAGCCCCAGAACCCACATAAAAGTGGGAGAGAACTTCCTGCACCAACCCCCATCACACACCCTCACACACACACACACACACACACACACACACACACACACACACACGGAAAAGTAATTGAGGGCTGGTGATGGACCCCGTCATAAAAGCACTGATGATATGAGTTTGATCCCTGGTGCACGATGGAAGGAGATAGCTCATGTCTTCGAGTTGCTCTTTGACCTCCATATATACACAGTATCATGTTCATGCCCAGTGCCCACCATAAAATAATAAAAAGTGTTTAAAAAATAAAAGAGCAGTTGAGGGCCAGGCTTGTTGGCTGTCCACAGGAGACTGGGTGTAAGAAATGGACTGTGCCCTACACTATTCCTGTTTCGAAGGTCAGTCATCCAAGGTTGGGGGATTCTGTGCTTCTGGTGGGAGTGGCTTCAGTCAAGGACCATATCTATTTCCCTGCAGCCATGACTTTACGTATTTACATGGAAGCCTCCTTGCTGTGCTCATTTTCTCTGGGGATGTTGTACTCTGCCCTCTGACTGGGATTAGGAGTGTGTGTGTGTGTGTGTGTGTGTGTGTGTGTTTATAAAGCCAGGAGAGCAAAAGCCAGGAGCAGATACAGCTCTTGCACAGGACCCAGGTTTGGTTCCCAGCACCCACCCAGTGACTCACAGCCTCCTGGAACTCCAGTTCCAGGGGATCTGAGCCCTCTTCTGGACTCCTTAAGCTCCTGCACACACATGATGCACATAAAGTCACACAGGAACATGTAAGAAGAAAAAAAAAAGTCCTGTTTATCAAAGAGATCAGACATTTCAGAGAAGTACCAAGGGGGGGGAACCTCTGTCATTCCACTATCCTAGAATAACACAATTTATGCTTTGCCTTTCTAATTTTTCCCACACAAAATGAAAATAATCCTCTATCTGCTATTGAAACTATCCTCCCTTAATATTCTGTTGAGAAAACTTTCCTTTTTGCTTATTTAAGCAGTTTTGTGATGTAATTTTTGTGACTATGTAGTATTTCACCATATGTACATGTGTATATATATATATATATATATATATATATATATGTAGATATCTCTGTATATCTGTCTACATCTGTCTGTCTATCTGTCTGTGTACCTATCTGTAATCATTCCCCTGTTATTGGGGATTGGGCTTCTTCCTCATTTCCTCTTATGTATAACCCTGGTTACACACCTTTGTGTGTGCATAGTTTTGTATCTTCGTTATTATTTTCTGGATACGAGAAGCGAGGTTGTAGTGTACATCATTTATCCTGGTTTGTAAGGGTCGTGTCAGGTTGCCCACCTCTGCACATCTTTACCGACACCATTATTTTTTGCTTGCTTGTTGTTTGTTTGTTTGTTTGTTTGTTTGTTTTTGAGGCAGAGTTTCACTATATAGTCCCAGCTGGCTCAGAATTCCCTGTGTAGACCAGGCTCTTTGAGATCCACCTGCCTCTGCCTTGCAGTTGCTGGGATTAAAGTATGCCATCACACCCAGCTTCCACCTTCCAGGTTCTGGGATTACAAGGGTATGTCACCATGCTTGGTTTATCCAGTGCTGGGGACAGAAGTCAGAGCTTCTGTATACTAGGCAGGTACTTTCCTAACTAAGCACATCCCTGACCCATTTTTTTTTTCCTTTAAAATATTAAGGATCCAGTGCTAAACACGTGGCTCAGTGGTTAAGAGCACTGCCTGCTTTTCTAGAAGACACAGGTTCAATTCCCATCACCCATATGGTGGCTCCCAACTGGCTGTAACTCTAGTTCCAGGGGATCCAACACCTTCAGGTGTCCAGGGACACAAGGCATGGTGACACACAGACATTCATGCAGGCAAAACACCCATCTACATTAAAAAGGAAAAAAAAAAGATCAGCGATCCTTGCTTTTTGCCATGTTAGTGTTTATCCTTACAAATATGTTAGGCCATGGTAGAAGTGGCTTAGCAAGTGTCACCTTCAGGTCTCTGAGGTGCCTGGAAGCTGAGGGTGTAAATGTCCCTTGAGGATTCTCCTAGTGGGGTGTGTGTCCTCCCTCTCCACTGTGTCCTGTGATGGGGACACACTCCCTGCCCAGCAGGGTCCAGGGAGAGCAGACAGCTCACGAAACACAGATTTTCTTGGGGAACCCCTAGGTCCCAAAAGCCCCCAAGCATGTCACTTGTCAGGCTCCATTCTTCTGAGAGCCTGGGCTGGTGAGGCAGAGACCCTCAGGCAGATGGTATTGAAGGATCAAGGAACCTCCTCTCTTAGCCCAGACTGGCTTCTACCTCACTATATAGCCAACGATGACCATGAACTTGCTACTCTTGCTCTACCTCCCAAATTCCAGGATCTCAGGCATGCACTACCTCGCCTGTTTTGTGTGGTGCTGGGGGATTGAATGTAGGTCTTCCTATACTCTAGACAAGTGCTCTACTGACCGATCTACATACTAGCCCCAGAGTGTGCTTTACAAATCAAACCACAAAACCTGCCCTTTTTGGATGGGCAGCCTTCTGCAGCTCTCTGCATTTCTGGGTTCTCCTCGAGTCCAGCCATTCGGTTTTGAATGTCTGTCTCCACTCTATCACATCATAGTCAGAAAGGAGTAAGCGCCAGGCCTGACAGGTAGAGGTTGTTTTTTTTTTCTTCTTCTTTTTATTTTTATTTCCCCTGACAGCCCACCTCTTGACCTCCATCTTCTTGCCAATGATTTTTTAAATCCTAAATGATTTGGTAATAATTGCTCCTCTTTGGGGTGATTATTGCCCTTCACTGATGGTAAATCTGTAAATTCCCTGGGGTCCCGAGAGCATTTTGGTATGCGGAGCCCACAAGCTGGCCCAGACAGGCTTCACTGCACATCCCACTGGCTGCCCATGTCTAGTCCCAGCTCCCTGCCACCCTCGTCTCCATTTCCTGGGGCTCTGCTCTATGCTGGCATCATGTCATTGTCCAAAGCACCCATCCCGCAGATGGTCTTCCAAGAGTGACATCACTTCCACGAGGGGATACGTCTTTTTCCTGATACTGTCTCCATGGGCCACACCAACAATTGCCAGCCAAAAAAGTCCCAAGAAGGCAATTTCCACTCTCTAGAGATCAGAGAAAACCACTGAGAATTTTCCAGTGTGGACTGGAACTTGGCACCCCTTTGCCTCCCAACTGGTTCCCTTCTTTGCCAGGCAGTCCCCGTCTGCCTTCCTGTCCGTGAATTCCATTACCATTTCTATTTCCCACCACCCTTCCATCTGTTTCTCCCTCTACATGATTCCCTTTCCAGTGTCAGGACCTATAGCCATACATGTATGTAAATGCACACACGCGCACACACACGTTTTCAACTTCAGATTCTGCTTATGAGAGGACACGTTCTCTGTTTGCCTTTCCAAGTTTGGTTTGTTTTCCTTAATGTAATGGTTTCTAGCTGCGTCTATTACAGATGACACCGTTAATACTGTCACACTGGAGACCAAACCTCCAGCACACATACCTTTGGGAGACGCCTTCGAACCATATCCAAACCACAGTGGCTCTGCAGTTCTGCTGTGTCCTCACGTGGCCTTTGCTGCGCTTGTATGGAGACGGCTATGGGGTCTCTTTATCCTCCAGTAAGGACCCCAGTCACACTGGGTCAGAATTGCTCCACCCTTGACCTCATGGAATCTAAGTTACCTCCACAAGAGCCCTTTCTATGTACTCACACCTGACTTTAGGCCTTGCTGGCTTGGGAGGACACAGCCCAGTCGTTACATCCCTCCTACACCTGCACTGTGAGAACACTGAATGAAGGCAGGAGGCCGGGCTAGCCATGGAGCCACCTCAGTTGCTACTTGTGCCTCAAAAGACACATCCCTTCTTGACTGATGCCCATTGCCTTGAGAACCGTTGGTTCTGAGAGTTTGCCTAGTCTGGGGGGTTGTTTCAGGAGGGAGGAGGAACGTACCTCACAGACTGCTTCTGAAACCCTATCCAGTAGCATAGGGTGTGTGTGGTGTCTGTGTGTGTGTTTCAATTTTGATTTTTATAAGTAGTCTCTTCACAATTGAAAGCAAACCTTTTGAACTGAGGGCTGTGAAGACTTTACCAGAATTGGTTTTCACAGTGCAGTCACCTAGTCCCAGAGTATTTAGCATCAGGTAAGATACGGCCTGCTCCGTGGGGGTGGGTGCTCCTCATGTCCTCAAGGCACCAAATCACTTTGACAGCGGCTGATTGATTTCACACTGAATAAAAATATACTGGTCATGGCCCAGGGGAGGCAGCAGGAGATATATTCAAGGTGGGCTGACTTTAAATCAATACAATGACAATATTATGTTGTTTAATTTGGACGCTAGTGGCTTTAAACATCAAATCAAGCAGTTTATTATGTCAAGAAAAAAGAAAGAAAGAAAGATATGAAAAACCCAGGAATAAAACTTTCCTGACATAACTTCCGACATATTTCACTTCTGACAGGCCATCATGATTGGCGATGACATCGTGGGTGACGTTGGCGGTGCCCAGCAGTGTGGAATGAGAGCGCTGCAGGTGCGGACGGGGAAGTTCAGGTCAGTGCCCATGGCTGCTTCATTCACCTGCCCTTCTCTGGACCTTGCCAGGGCGACTGCCTTCTTGTTTTGTTCTGTTTTCCAAACAAACAGTGTATGGACATCTATGGCTTTTCTATAGCTGGCCCTAAGGAAGAAAGCCCTGTCCCTAACTGTGTGATGGAAGTGACGCAGAGTGGCCCTCCATGCAGAGCCTGGACTTCGAGGCAGATGTGAATCCGTGTGGAGCGAGGGTAAAGATGTGAAGCTTCCGCCCGTCCTAGTTCTGTGGCCAGGGAATTGGGCTGACTTTGTTCATGCCCCTTTGGGCAGTGTGCTCAGAACCTTTGCAGCCATTGGGGTTACAACTGGCCTCACCCTGGCTCCTCTCCTCCTTTTTTCCACTCTCCCCAACCTTTGCGAGGCATAGCGCCTAGAGACTACAGACAGCTGGGTCTGAGGTTTATGATTTAGTTGCTGAGTCTCCCTGTGATGATTGGGCTTGCTTAGCCATTGAGAGTGTCTCATGCATCGGCAGTGTCCTGCTTATTTATTTATATATATTTATTAATACATTTTTATTATAAAATTACACAATTTCTTTATTTTCCTCTCTCTATCCCCTATTTTATATTCTGAGATGGGCTTGCATGTAGCCCATCTTGCTATGTGGCCAAAATTGATCTGGACCTTTTGAGCCTCCCGCCTCTACCTTCCAAGTATTGGGATTAAAACAGTGTGTCACCATTCCTAATTTATGCTGTTCTGGGGATCAAACCAAGGGCTCTGTGCATTCTCAGCAATAACTCTACCATCCCAGCCCCTGCCTTGCTTGTTTTCAGTGGATTCCCCTGTGGCCAGGCCATTCAAACAAAACACTGTTTTGTCAGTGCTGGAGAGACATGGTAAGAACATGGTTACCTGGGTTTGACGGACAGTAGGTCAGTCACACACATCTGAATGATCATCTTGGGCAAGGCTAGGATCCATCAGTGGCCTGACTTTCACTATGATATCCTTCCTGGGTGAGACACCTGAGGGAGCCATGAGTTGAAGCAATCTGTGAGCTTGGCATGAGTCTCAGCACTCCTGGGGGCTGGAGTCAGGAAGCTACTTCGGGACTCTCGTAGTGTGGAAGTGCCTTTGAGGCCCCAGCATACCTGAAATGCAGATTTTCTTTCTTCCCCAGCCCCTCAGAGGGCAGTTTTGGCCTGAGGGAGCCCTGCTCATAAGCCACAAAAGTATTCTTCTCAAGTGGCTCGCCTCTCCCCTAATGTAACACAGTTCCTCATCCTGAAGACAAGAAACAGTCTCTCACAGTTCTGGAGGCTGGAGTGACCAAGATCAAGCTGCCAATAGGTTCAGTGTCTGATTCTAAGATGGCTCTGGATGTGTCTTCCTGCATCCACAAAGGAGGAGGGATAGTGAATCCTAACATGTGATAGAAAGCAGAGAGCCCACTCCCTCAAGCCTTCTCACGAGGTTTCAATCCTCATGACCAAACACCTCTCAACCCGCCCCCCGCCCAACACTGTTGTACCAAGGATTAATATTCAGGCCATAGCAGACCTTAAGGACCCTGATCTCCACCCCTCAGAATTGCAGAGCCTGATTCTGCCATGCTCCCAGCCAGAGGCAGTGGCAGTGGGACCCAGCATCCTTCGTTGGCTATGCTCGCTCAGCAGCTGGGAGCCCAGCTAGCACATGTTCAGTGTGTGTCTCAGCTTTAGTGGCCAAACACGTGAGTGACACTTTTGTATTCAAAAACCCAGAAGTAGGGCTACTCTAGTTCATTAAGGAAAAAGTCTTAATTGAGTAAATGTGTCCTTAGCTGGGGCCCATCTGGTCAGTCTGAACCCAGAATCTACCCAGATTCTGTAACGCAGAATCTACCGTGGCTTTACTCTTGGCTGGGACAAGCCTCTAGGCTGCAGAGTCTCTGAGGAAGACCCCACACATAGCAGGGAGGCCTACACACAAATAGGATTGGGGGGTACACCCACTGTAGTTCCCTAGGTGTGGGTACTTTGCAGAGTGTAGTTATCTGTGTGCCATTCAGAGGGAAGTGTCAGTGGGGCGGGGTGTAGCTCAGCATGTGGGAGGCCCTAGACCCGACCCGCCGCACTGTGAAACTCCAAGTCAGCAGAAGAGAAAGGATGTCCACGTGGTGAAGCTTGCACTGGACAGAGAATTCTCTCCTGAGGACGAAATCTTCTCAGCAGAATCGAGTGCGCGGCTACTGTTTCAGGCTTACCTTTATTACAAAATTATATTGTGTAACGTATATTTTTCTTGACTGTTTCTGGCATCTTCCTGTAACTATGAAGTTTCATCTAGGGCCTGGCGCATGCCAGGTCCTCCGCTGGTGGCTAGGGTTGGTGACCATGCTGCTGTGGGTAATTGCCACCAGGCTTCTTGAAATTGACCCCTTGCCCTGGTTCCGCAGGGCAGGACTTGTTTGTCAAGAGGCATCTGCTCCTTTGCTAGCTTGGAGGATAGTAAAATAAGACTCACAATTCTTGGGCTGGAGAGGTGGCTCAGCGGTTAAGAGCACTTGGCTACTATTCCCAAGGTCCTGAGTTCGACTCCCAGCACCCACATGGTAGCTCACAAACATCTGAAATGGGATCTGCTTCCCCCTTCTGGTAAGCGTATACGTAAAATACATGAATAAATATATCTTAGAAAAAGAGAATCTTAATTCTTACAAGGGAGCATCTGGGTCACCACGGCGAGGCCACCCCGGCGTAAGAGGCTCAGTGTGCACTGTTGTACATGAGCATTAGAGGACGAGCAGTCTAGAAGTTACGGTCCTAGAAACACTGCCAGATAGGAAAGTCAGAGTGGCTTGAAACTGACTTGTCCCGGTGGGAGGAAAGCAAGCCCAGCACTGAGTTTCTATGCTGAAGACAGAATGTTGACACTTGCTGTCAGTGGCCCTACTAAGAGAGGGAACCCTAACTCTGACCCTGACCCTGACCCTGACCCTACTTCTAGCCCTAACTTTTCATATGTTATACTTACTATCGGTGGATTACCTGGCAAACCTTCGTCTAACCCTAACCCTAAGCTTTTGTGGCTGGAGCCGTGTTTGTTCCTGCACTGGCCTTTTTTACTGCAGACGACACTCTGATTAACAGATGCCCCGTCAGGTGATCTGACGGCACACTGGTGGCCATAGGGGCCCCGTGTTCCTCCAGCAGCCTCTCTGGCACCCTGCACTCTGCCCCCTGCAATGTGTGCCCTCAGTGTGTACCAGTGGGCGGCCTCTGCATTCAGACATGCTCAGGTCCCTTTCTCTCCTCATCTTGTCCCTTCTAGACATAATCAGGTCCTAAGACCAGCTATTGATGAGCTGGCCGGGTTTACAGAAAGGCCTGGCTTTGAGAGCCTCTGACCCACAGAGCAGGTCCTCTGAGTCATTTGACCTCATCCTTACACTGGGGAGGTTCCATCATTGTGCCTGTGACGATGCACGCTGGTTCTGGTTTCCAGCCTGCACTTTTCTGAAAGGCGAATGGAAACTCTGAGTTACCTTTAGCTCCTGCTGGGTTCAAATGGAGTGCTGGAAGGGCCCTCACATATTCCTTAAAGAAACTATACCCAAGAAGGTGTATCAGAGCCAACCCAGCTGCCTGGAGTAGGGTGAGTCCCCTCCCCTTCCCTAGAGTTCACCCCAGAGGCTAGTGACTGTCTTACCCAGAAGACTGGAGAAGGACTGAGTGCCAGAGATGATTAAAGGGTCCCAGGCGGCCGCATTAGGCTAACAATGGCCTACCTCTGTGACATTAGACTCTTTCTGTGTACTCTGGCTCCTAGGACAGTGCTGGAGGCTGGCCCAATTTCCTGTTGATAAAAAGGAGAAATGGAGCACTCTCAGAGGGATCATAGAGCCCCCAATAGCATTGTGCCACCTCCATTTGCAGATGCAGAAACTGAGACCTTAGTAGAGCAGGGACATTGGTGTTGGGCTGTCCTGCCACTCAAGCCACCCGCTCCGTGGAGAAGGGACTTCATTTGCTCTCACACTCATACCTAAGTTCCACATGCCAGCTGAAAGGTTCAAGTTTCCTAGTGTATCTAGGCAAATCTGCTTGCCTTGGCCTTATCTGGACAGTATTGGGGAGGGTGTAGCCCCAGGGAATATATTAGAGCACCAGCTAGGAGGTCAGCATCCAAGATGCATTGGCCTTCTCTAATCCAGCCCCCCCCCCCCCCCCCAGCCCCCCCCCTCCCCCCCCCCCCCCCCCCCCCCCCCCCCCATTGTTCTTTCCTTAAAATCCACCTCAGCATCCTTTACCTGGGCCTCCTTGAGGATCTCTACAGTCTACTTTCCTTTTCCTCTTTCATGCTCTGGCCACAAGAGGGCACTTTGTCACCAGGTTCTGGGAGAGCCAACCCTTTCTGAGTTCTGGACTTGAACACACAAGACCATGAGGCCCCAGTGCACACTCAAAAGCACTCACAGCCAGCTGCCCCCTCCCCCCCTTGCCCCGTTCACTCACATATTCACATCCATACCCCTGAACTCCCAACTCACTCCCAGGCATGCTCACCCGCTCTTGCTCCCCTGCTGCTGTGCGTCTTTGTTACATTTGAGGTCAGGCTGGCTTGCTAGACTCAGGTCAGGCTAGGGTCTCAAGAACCAAAGCAGGTTCTGTGACCCATGGAGGCTTCCCTTTTGTTCTTCTCCAGCTGGTACCTTCACAGGGGGAGAGTCCTGAGAACTGTGCCCCGGGCCTGGGGTCCCTGTGTCAGGACAGTCCTTGTTCACCAAGTCCCCTACTGTCCCTTCCTCATTCTTTCTTGAGCCCTTTGTCATGCTGTGCCCCTCCACCCCTATTCCCAAGTGTCTCCACACCCCTCCTGGGTTTGCCCGGATCCTGTAAGAGCTTCCTTTATGATGGACTCTCAGTGCCCGTCAACCAGCAGGGGGCTCCACTGGCTGTGGGTGGGGTCTAGAGAGGCATGGTGACTCTCAACACCATGTGGCAAGCAGCACTAGCTTCCACACCAGGCCT